CCAGCAGTGCATGACAAGTGCATGCATCTTAGAAACACTGTAATAATGATAAACAGGAGGAATGTACGGCTTCAGTTCTTCAAAGTCAGCCTCTATTTAGCACTTTCAAAGAGTGAATTGCTATTATTCTTGACGCTAAATATTTCAGGAAAAAGACAGTTTCAGGTTTTTTTCCAATGCTTCCCCATTACGCCAAAATGGATAAATGGTCAAGACATGGTATTTGCACATCATAATCAAGAGTACCAAGAAGTATTTTGAACGCAAAGAGGAGACGATAATTATAAATATACCTTGTTAGACGTTTTGTTGTGTAGTATCGCTAAGTATTTTTACGAGTTGTGCCGTATTTTGACGACCCCGTATGCCAAGTCAAAATACAAACAACGATTAAAAACACTCAGCCATTCTACACAACAAAACGACTTATAAGAGATTTATTATCCAACACGCCAAATTGTTATTTCAGTGCGGGCGAATTTCGCGAATATTTCTAGAGTACAAATATCGCCGACCGTGAGAGGGGCTAGAATATTTCAACAGTCGAGGTATGGTATGAAAAAAAGTCCTTAGCTACTTTTAATTAGATACTACGAAACAGTAGTCCGTCGAGCAGGGATGGCACTTTGTTTCGGGGTGTTCATCTCTCACAGGTCTGGTCTTAGCTTGATTACTTGACCAGGTGTCAAGGTTTGTTTCGGTTACTCCCCGCTTCTTTAAGGTAGTCCAAACGATTTCATTATTTTTAAGTTTTCCTAATCCACCATCTCCCTGACAAATAGTCGTGCTTAATTAAACTAATTCCTGGGTTTTTCAGCTATTTGACATGTTACGGTTGCACAAACAATAATCGATACTACTTTAAATAAAGTGTGTCTTTGGATATCCTCACATTTGCGATTAAAGATATTTATTATGCATCCACTATAAACCCTACATTGTGCTTCTGATTATCAAATTGATCTTTTATTACTATTGGCTTCTTTTTATCAAAACAGATCTATAAGCACCGTTTGAACTCGATGACTGATACAGAACCTCAATATGGAAATCCAAATACGTTAAAAGTATGATTTATAGATGTGATAGATTAACATTTTCAGACATTACTTCGCAGTAAAAAAAAAACAAACAAACAAACAAAAAAAAAACAAAACAAAACGAAACCAAAACAAAACAAAAAACAAAAAACAAATAAATAAGAAATAAAATAACATATTTTATACTTATGTCAATTTGGTTACGAACGCAAGCAATAAAGAAGAAAAGTGATTCACTCACTTGTGTGCTTAGCCGGAGGTGGCTTTCCTTTTCATTTCAATTCTTATGAACCCTACCGAAAAAACGAATGGTCCTTTTAATTCTATTTCAGTGTCGAAGTCATTTACCTGTATGGTCTTGTAGAGGGAATTATTTCAGCGCGACAATACATAACACTCTACGTAAGCCCTCAGCTTAAGTAATAATTAAGGAATTTCAGATTTCTACCATCAACATTTTAGGGTATTTGACGCTTAGCTGGTTTGTTATTCTTCCTCGCTTTGCTAAAACATAATGACAACCACGTATTACTTTCAACTTTATTCCATCCCCTTGATGATCGTGATTTCTTCCTGCCCATTGATTTACTAACTTGTCAACTTTCTCAGCGATCACTGCAATATTAAGTACACTATTTTTCAAATTTTAGTGCTGACGATCGATCATTTGAGAATAATCGTAGTAATGATCATAACTAGTGAAAAAGAGATGGATAGTTTCAAGGCAAGGGTCTTTGGGGGAGGATGTACGTTTGCACAAAAAACCCGAAATACTACAAATGCAAAGACTAGTTTTCCGCGCGCGCTTTTTTTTTCTGGTCACGTAAGATTTGTCATATAAAAGTAAACTCTTTTGCCACAATGTATCAATGTTATGTTATAAAACAAATGGTAAACGCCACAGTGTACATTATTGAGTTATGGATGCACTTGGGAGGTCTGCTAAGCACTCAAGAAGCTAGAGTTGCTCTCGGCTATCGCCTTGCGCGACTCTTACGCTTCTTTCGTGCTTAGCAACCTCTCGCGTGCATTCATAACTCAATAGTGTATGCTGTGGTGTTCATCATTTGTTAAGTCCAGCTTTACATACGACATGGTTGGCATAAAGAATCTTACACCGATTGTAGCAATTAAAATATATGATATATAATATAAAATATATGAACTTCAGATATTCATTGTATCTCATGTAGCAACTAACTACAAAAAAATTAAATACGAAAGAAACACAGTCAAGACTCATATATCGTTAGCATTGGTCTTCATTGATAGGCAAAGGGTTTTAGCTAATGTTTTTTTTTTAATTTTTTTCGAAAACGAAAGTTTAAAACTAAACTAGGGAGCGACGCAGGGAGCTAAACGGGTGACGCTGGGACGCCCCAACAAGTAAGGGTACGAATCATTTGGTCTCGATGAGGGCACGTCCGGAAATATTAGTTCTCCAACAGCACCCAGTTTGGCTACCAGGTGGATCTGTTATCGATTGAGAACTATGTTTAAGAATATTGATTTCAAAGAATATAATTTAGAGAGGCACATAACGCCTTAAAACGCTATGACTACAAAAAGTAATGGCAGAATGGTATTGTAAAGTAACAAACTTATTAACTTAAAATGTTACTGTGGTATAATATAGAATTGTCTCTATCATCTGCCACATTATATTATTTTGGTTAAGAAGGGCAATGTCAGCTTCAGATCCTGTGTTGATGTGTACGAGTTCGCCCTCGACAGTTCCGTTTGGTGAGTATGCAAAATACGGAAAATAGCCAAATGCTTTCGTTGCAGTAGCCTCAGCTTTTACCTGAAGAAACGATCAACGATATTCTTGTGTCAAGGAGTTAAGAGAAACCTTTTGTGAGTAGCGCCCGAGCGGGCTCTCTCTATAGGAACTGCTAGACGTGCATTTCTCCGCTCCTGGAGAGAGGTTTACAGTGGGTCTTGCTCTGCTCACCCCATTGAAGACCTCTCCCCGACTGACGTAGCCCAAAGCTCTACACTTTCTTGTAGGCGAAGGCCCCTGCCGGGCCACTTTGTAAAAAAGAATATAACGTGACACAGCACGCGATTAAATGGCGTTTATTGCGCTTCTGCCCAGTTGGCTAGGCTGTGATTAACCAAGTGCTATGCACATGTGATGATCATACCTGGGCAAGATGTTATTTTGATGGAGGGGATGCTTCTTGGATAAAAAAGAAAAAAAAAATTATAAAAATGATTAGATACTTGATATATCTGACACTATAACTTCAGAAGCACATTACGTTAAAACATGAATAGTTGCCTAAATTAGTTCATTTCTTGAGATAATTTAGTAATGATTTCCGTTTCTTAATTATTGTTTATTTGCCCATCGTCAAAACAACGACTATTCCAATATCGATATAGACCTGGCGAGAAACAAAAGCAACAGAAAAATAAGGAA